AACATGGCAATCATGAAATAAGAACACGGTCATATTATCTGCGCGTATCACGGGAAAAGGTCATCAAAAGTGTTTTATTCTATAAAAGAACTATTTATTCTATTAAAGGCTCTTGTTCCAAAACTTTCAGCAACATTCTGAAGAATTCCAATTCCAAGACTTAAATACTCATCATTGACTTAAATATCATCTTAAGACAAAAATCTGGTGTGATGTCTTTTTAAATAATATAGTACCAATATACAATTTTAACTTATTTAACTTAGCCTCGGTCATAACTAGAACAAGTCGTAAAGCTCCATCAAGTAATCAATGAATCAACCAATCAATCGATCATTCAATTAATCAATCTATTAAATAATCTTTACTTACGCATCGTATTACGTGTGGCAAAACATATGTATCGTTTCATATGATAAACATAGTTTCTATATTTTAAAAAATCGAATAAGAAATGACATAGATGACTTAAGATAAAAAAAAATGATACCTGTAGTACATGTACAAAGTTTAAACGTAATTTGTTAAGACTAACACACGCTTTTTGTGAATTATCATCCTTTGATATTTTTGTATGAGGTGTTTGTCACTGATATCCTATTATATAATGTTAAAGAAGTATTGGAGTAATATATCATTATATTACAGTGTAGATGACAAACGTGTTGCTGCATTATCAATGGGTGGATTATAATCAAGTCGTGGTCGGTTGTTTTTTATTGACTCATTGTTATTATTTTTAGAAACAGTAGGTTAATATTCACTGGATGACGTCATTTCAATTGTAAGTAACGTAACGTACAGTTTTCATATGTTCCGTCTCGTTTAATGATTAAATCATTATCTAGCATCTACATAACAATTAAAGACTTTTATTTCGGTTAATAAATTCATTTGAACACAAGTCCATAATTGATGAATAATCCAACGGGATCGGTAATATTTATGTTTGATCTTTGTAAATGGTTCATGTCCGATTTTGGTCCGTCTTATGACAGCAATGTTTAATACTGTATATACCATGTTTAAAACAAGGATCAGAAATGGATATTGGAGAAGGGCTTTCTGTCAGTGATATATAGAATTTCCATTTCAACATTTTCCTATCCAACATTTGATAAAAACACATTTTTACACAGCTTTTGGTTTACAGTTTTATTCTTTATCCCTGAAAAAATGTGCATGAATTTGTCTCTAGAATGTATATAAGATTGAATTTGTATCTATGATTTGTATTAATCAAGACATATCACATGATCTATATTCTGCTAAGTTTGTAACTCTTGTCAAATTCTAATTTTTAAAATTATTGTTTGACATTCTTTCGACACTTTAAGTTATTATGAGCACAACAAGACAGTATATCCCGTCATCAAAGTGAAATCATCAAAACCAAACAAATCGATTGTATCCTAATGATATGGTCTTGTCGTTTAATGACAGTTAATGATAATTAATCATTATTGGCACTGCCTACAGGCCTGAACAGTGTGCTTTACCTTTCCGGGAAAACCTGCGTAACGTCTATTAACGATGCTCTATATATTACACCAACTATAATAGTAACTGGTGATTTAAATGTCGACTTATTAACTGCATCTACTAACCATGTTCGTTTTGACATTATGAATTATTTTAGTATAACCAATGTCATAAACGAATCTACTCGTATTGGACCGACTAGATCCAGCCTACTCGACCTTATTCTTTTAACTCAATCCCTTTTCCTGTAAAGATTCTTCTGTTGTATCAGTTGATAACTCTTTTAGTGACCATGATGGCTTTACTTCTTGTATTAAAAATACATGTGCTTTTAGATCAATTTATAAGCGTAAACTTTGGCTGTATAAGAGGGCAGACTTTCAATTGTTTGATAATCTCATTTCTTGGATCGATCTTTTTCGAAATTGCGACTCTGTTGATATTGCCTGTGAGCGTTTTACTGATGTTTTTCTAAAATTTGCTAATTTATGTATTCCATCTAAAGTTGTCACTTTAAGACCAAATGACAACATTGGATTACCTCCGAACTAAGATTGAGAATTCCAGATAGGTTGCACAAAATCGCGAGGTCAACCAAATTTCTTTCGGATGTTAATAAAGTCTCAACGTTTAACAACATGAAAAAGCATGCCCGTTTCATATTTTATGAAAATGTTCAAGGTATAATTAAAGAGTATTCGTCCTCTGATCCAAAATCCTACTGGAGACTTATTAAACGGTAAGATAAAGCTAACTTATCAAAATGATTATTTTTGGAATATTACACGAGTAAATGATACTAACACTGTGATTCCTATTATGGAGCCAAAAAACTGACAATACGTTTAGTTCTATTAGAGAAGATAGTGATGAAATTCGAGACGTTCTACATATATTGAAGCTCGGCAAGGCCTCGAGTGAGGATGGAATCAGCCATCATATGTTAAGAAATACCTCACAGTCTGTTTGTATTCCACTTAAAATTATTTTTGATATGTCTTTATCGGCAGGTATTTTTCCAACTGCTTGGAAAAAGCCAAGGTCATGCCACTGTTTATAAAAGGTGACAGGCATTCTCCTTCTAACTATAGGCAAATTTCACTTTTATCTACTGTTGGAAAAGTTTTTGAGCGAGTAATCTTCAAACACCTACATAATAATTTCTTAGAAAACTCATTGTTTTATAAGTACCAGTCTGGTTTTATGCATGCTCATTCTATTGTATATCAGCTCATTGAAATTTATCACAACATTTGTATTGCTCTTGAAGAAGAAAAGCATGTATGAATGGTATTTTGTGATATTTCGAAGGCTTTTTTTCGGGTTTTGCATAAGGGTTTGATGGTTAAGTTAAAATCCTACGGAGTTGTAAGTAAATTATATACCTGGTTAGAAAAGTGTTTATTTCATAGGCAACACAAAGTTTTCTTAAATAATTCGTTTTCCATATTAGGTTGGTACGAAGCAGGGGTTCCTGAAGGTTCAATTCTTGGACCGCTTTGGTTTTTCATATATATTAATGATATATTGCCGATGTGTTTGAATCAGCTGCTCGTCTTTTTGCAGATGAAACTTCTTTATTACAGCCTTCATCTTGTCATGAAATCAAAACAGTATTGAATAGAGATCTTGAGTCTTTTTTATGATCTAAAACTTTAATCTAGACAAAACTGAGATAATATCTATTTCTAATTCTATTGACATAAATGAAGATTTAGATTTGAAATGTAATGAAAAAGACTTAATTGTACAGACCATCATAAGCATCTGGGAGTAGTTTTTAATTCAAGCGCAAAGTTGGGGGATCCTATTAATTCCATTTATAGTTCAGTTATGAAGAAAATTAACGTCTTACGGAGATTGAAATATTTGCTAAATAGGAATAGTCTTTTAAAAAATTATAAATCATTCATTTTATCAGTTTTAGAATATGCTTGTGAATTATGGGATGGTTGTACTAAATTTGAATCCAAAAAGTTAGAGAAAGCCCAAAGATAAGGTACTCGATTTATATCTGGCCTTCCTTCATATGCCCGTATCGAAGAAGATTTACATTTTGAAACAGGTTTAGAAACTCTTTCTAATCGTCGAAAACGTAGAAAACTCCAACTTTTATATAGAATGCAAAACAACTTAACTCCAGATTATTTAAACGATCTCCTGCCACCTAGTATTGCAGAAAATAACAGGTACACTCTTAGAAATAACTATGATTATAGAGTTCCTCTGTCTGGGCCTTCTCTTACAAATCTTTCCTTTATACCTTCCACTCATCGTAGAGCAAACTCGATAGATATATCAGTACCGTCGTTGCCTCCCATACATTCTTTTAAAAACTCTCTTTCTTCGAATGTACAACCATCCCCTCCTATCTACCTAAATTTTGAGAAGGTAAATTAAATATCATACTAAACTGAGGCACAATTGAAGTTCTCTTAAGTATGACATTTACAGATTCAATCTTGTCGACGGTCCATTTTGCATCTGTGGGCATCCATGTGAGAATGCCTTTCACTTTTTTTTTGAGTGTCAACTTTTTAGCAATGAAAAGCGTATTTTGTTTCAAAATTTGAATGCCTTAGGTATAGATTTAAATTTAGAGCTTCTTTTGTTTGGCAGTTCAGATCTTTCTGTGGACTTTAACTCTAAAGTTTTTAGACATGTGCATCCCTTCATCGAATCCAGCAAAAGATTTTAAACGGTGCTTTTTTAAAGTTGTGTAAATGTACCAGTGTCGAAATTATATATATATATATATATTTCATGTTTATGTCTATTATCATTGTTGACATTTAATTGTAAATGCATGACGGGAGAAGGCTGTGATAAGTTGTAATAACTTGGGCCCGATCCCTTGTTCAATTTATTGGCAATAAATATGTGTAAAAAATAAATGTAATCAAAGACATATAAATTGTATCAAATACACTTTTCTTATCATGGCTGAATAGAGAATGTTTGCTTTTCGCCTTTTTGCTTTTTCGCTTTGTCATGGTTACCAAGTGACAAAGTGCAGTTTCGTTTTCCTAAGCGAGGCTCTTTCAGCGACAAAGCGCTGTCCAATAAATCGAAACGGGTCTTGTTTACTTCGTAACCTCAACAAAATGGGACTTATTTCTCCTTTCGCTCAAGTATAATTTTGATGAAATACCGACCGAAAAGCCGGGTTTTCTTGATTGAAATTTAATTGGAAAGCGAACTTTAAATGTAGTTTGGTTCCTTGATTACAGCGTGGTTTTTAACTGCCTTTTACACAGAGAATACATACTGTACGTTTACCAACCAGTGGAGTATGAGATGTGCCTTAAACTTGAAGTAGCCCATGAAAGGAGACACTTGTATTAATATCTTAGCGAACGACCGGTACATCTGACATTTATTCCTTATACATAGGACGCCGTCCTATATATTTCAGATTAACAAAAACTATTTTTTAATTCTATACTTTACACTTATTTTCGTTGTCTATGAAGTACGTTGCCTACGATTACCGTTGCAAAAATAAAGGAAAAAAAGCATTGCTTTTATTGATATTTTAATATTTTTAGCCAAAACAACACACTCTATGTACACGGAAATCAAGTCGTCAATCCCAAGCCTCTTGTATGGATCGTATTGGGTTTAGTAACCTCCGAAACCTGCAAACAAAAATGCTGATTTTACAAAGGGTAGATTACAATTATATGTGGACGATTATATATCACATAATATTCATTCGTTGTCTAGGAATCGATAAATAAATACATATGCATTTTAATCATGTTTGTTGAAATCATAATTCTTTCGACTCGAGTATAATGACACTTTAAAGGATAAATAATATACTCTATGGAAATGTCGAAATGTATCTACAATAAATGCTCATGCGCAATGAAGGATAAAATTGTTTGAAAATTCTTTAAATTAATCGCATGAAGACATTTCCCATAAACTGATTTGTTGTCAGGGAAGATCGAATGAACTACTCACTACGTGCGCTAGGTGGCGTGATCATCAAGTCACTTTATTGCGTCTATTCAGGCTTAATGTGAACAACAATTATGAAGTAAGCACGTATACAATATACAAATAAATAATAACTTACCTGATTTCTTTCCTCTTCCGAATCCTCCGCCGATGAATCCACCCTTTCCACCGCCGAATCCACCGTATCCACTGCCGTATCTATTACCATATCCCCCCCCAATAACGTATCCGCCATTTCCGTATCCACCGTAACCACCGTAACCCTTGGACACTATCACCCTCTTTCCGTAACCTCGTCCGTACCCTTGGTATCCTCCGATACCTCCGGATCCGCCCTGTCCGCCGTAGTAAGACGACCCTCCGTATGATCCGTATCCGTGGCCGATTCCATGTCCGATTCCGTGTCCGATTTCGATTCCTCAAAAGGAATCGTCATCGTTGTACCAGTCCTGTGCCATGGCGGCAACCAGACACACAGCAAGAACGACTAATCTCAACATGATTAAGTTGGGTATCTGTAGAGAAAACAAAACAGACGGCTACAGTGAAATAAACGGTTTATGTTTTTGTTTACAAAGGTCTAATAATGCAACACAACGAAGTTGATTTCCGAGAGAAATTGGATTTACCTACATTTAAATCTGTAGTATTTCCAATAATCTAGTTTACTCAGGTTTTATGAAGACAGCCTAAGGGATGTTCAATGTATAAGTAAACACTGTACAAAGAAAAACGTGTATGCTTAAATCGAGAATTTGTATCTAAGAACTGGTTTCATTTACATGTATATCACAGTGACCTTTTTGCAATGTTTTTTTTTGTTCGAGATAGAAACATATACCACTTACCTTCCTGTAGTCGGGGAATATATGTCAGTTCTTGATTCGTGGATGGAAAACGAATAACAACAGTTGAGAGCATCGCCTCTTATATACCGGTCCTGTAGTTATGCAGCGAGACATTTTTCAATAAAACTTACATATATCGGCAATAACATGCGTGTAGCTTCCGTTACGTAACCACCCTCGGGGGACAGTACCTATTGTCCTGTTGTGCGTAATCATCAAATAAAAACATGGTCATATTATCTGCACGTATCACAGGAATAGGTCAACAAAAATAATTTATTGTACGAAAGAACTATTTATTCTATTAAAGGCTCTTGTTCCAAGACTTTCAGCAACATTCTGAAGAATTCCAATTCCAATACTTAAATACTCATCATTTACTTAAATATCATCTTAAGACAAAAATCTGGTGTGATGTTTCTTTTAAAATATAGTACCAATATACACCAAATCAATTTTAACTTATTTTACTTAGCCTCGGTCATAACTAGAACAAGTCGTAAAGCTCAAGTAATCAATGAATCAACCAATCAATCGATCATTCAATTAATCAATCTATTAAATAATCTTTATTTACGCATCGTATTACGTGTGGCAAAACATATGTATCTGTTTATATCATAAACATAGTTTCTATATTAAAAAATCGAATAAGAAATGACATAGATGACTTAAGATAAAAAGAATTGATACATGTAGTACATGTACAAAGTTTAAACGTAATTTGTTAAGACTAACACACGCTTTTTGTGAATTTTCATCCTTTGAAGTGGTTTTTATGAGGTGTTTGTCACTGATATCCTATTATATAATGTAAAAGAAGTATTGGAGTAATATATCATTAAATTACAGTGTAGATGACAAACGTGTTGCTGCATTATCAATGGGTGGATTATAATCAAGTCGTGGTCGGTTGTTTTTTATTGACTCATTGTTATTATTTTTAGAAACAGTAGGTTAATATTCACTGGATGACGTCATTTCAATTGAAAGTAACGTAACGTACAATTGTCATATGTTCCGTGTCGTTTAATGATTAAATCATTATCTAGTATCTATATAACAAGTAAAGACTTTTATTTCGGTTAATAAATTCATTTGAACACAAGTCCATAATTGATGAATAATCCAACGGGATCTGTAATATTTATGTTTGATCTTTGTAAATGGTTCATATCCGATTTTGGTCCGTCTTATGACAGCAATGTTTAATACTGTATATATCATGTTTAAAACAAGGGATCAGAAATGGATATTGGAGAAGGGCTTTCTGTCAGTGATATATAGAATTTCCATTTCAACATTTTCCTATCCAACATTTGATAAAAACACATTTATACACAGCTTTTGGTTTCCAGTTTATTCTTTATCCCTGAAAAAATGTGCATGAATTTGTCTCTAGAATGTATGTAAGATTGAATTTGTATCTGTGATTAGTATTAATCAAGACATGCCACATGATCTATATTCTGCTAAGTTTGTAACTCTTGTACAAATTCTAATTTTAAAAATTATTGTTTGACATTCTTTCGACACTTTAAGTTACTATGAGCACAACAAGACAGTATATCCCGTCATCAAAGTGAAATCATCAATACCAAACAAATCGATTGTATCCTAATGATATGGTCTTGTCGTTTAATGACAGTTAATGATAATTAATCATTATTGGCACTGCCTACAGGCCTGAACAGTCTGCTTTACCTTTCTGGGAAAACCTGCGTAACGTCTATTAACGATGCTCTAGATATTACACCAACTATAATAGTAACTGGTGATTTAAATGTCGACTTATTAACGGCATCTACTAACTATGTTCGTTTTGACATTATGAATTATTTTACTATAACCAATGTCATAAATGAACCTACTCGTATCGGACCGACTAGATCCAGCCTACTAGACCTTATTCTTTTAACTCAATCACTTTCCTGTATTGATTCTTCTGTGGTATCACTTGGTTACTCTTTAAGTGACCCTGGTAGTTGTACTGCTTGTATTAAAATCACTTGTACTTTTAGATCAATTTATAAGCGTAAAATCTGGCTGTATATATATAAGAGGGCAGACTTTCAATTGTTTAATAATCTTATTTCTTATTATAATTGGATCGATCTTTTTCTAAATTGCGACTCCGTTGATATTGCCTGTGAGCGTTTTACTGATGTTTTCTAAAATTTGCTAATTTATGTATTCCATCTAAAGTTGTCACTTTAAGACCAAATGACAACATTGGATTACCTCCGAACTAAGATTGAGAATTCCAGATAGGTTGCACAAAATCGCGAGATGGGTGTTAACAAATTTAAGTCTCAATGTAATAAGGTTAACAACATGAAAAAGCATGCCCGTTTCATGTTTTAAAAAAAAATGTTCAAGGTATAATTGAAGAGTATTCGTCCTCTGATCCAAAATCTTACTGGAGACTTATTAAACGGTTAATGAAATCCACTAGCATTTCACAATATATACCTACTCTTGAAGAACCTCATACTAACAATATTGTTGCTAATGACGAAAATAAAGCTAACTTATCAAATGAATGTTTTTGGAATATTACACGAGTAAATGATACTACATGTAACACGGTGATTCCTATTGTGGAGCCCAAAACTGACAATACGTTCAGTTCTATTAGAGTAAATAGTAATGAAATTCGAGACGTTCTACATATATTGAAGCTCGGCAAGGCCTCGGGTGAGGATGGAATCAGCCATCATATGTTAAGAAATACCTCACAGTCTGTTTGTATTCCATTTGAAATTATTTTTGATATGTCTTTATCAGCAGGTATTTTCCCATCTGCTTGGAAAAAGCCAAAGTCATGCCACTATTTATAAAAGGTGACAGGCATTCTCCTTCTAGCTATAGACAAATTTTATTTTTATCTACTGTTGGAAAAGTTTTTGAGCGAGTAATCTTCAAACACCTACATAATTATGTCTTAGGGGGGTATTTTCGGTCATTTTCAATTGACAAGTAGTTTGTTTTCTCAATAATTTCCTTTCTAATTAAGATTTTGACTTATAATTTACAACTTCACTCATTTGATTAGACTTACATAAATTGCATATTGACTACATACTTTCCTTTTGTTTTATACTGAATTATGGCTTCTGGATACATCTCAAACTTGAGTTTTTCAAATATCTCTCAATTTTAAGTGAATTAACGGGTGCATGACACACTTTATATGCTATAAGTATAAAATATCAATTGTTAGTATTGTATATTATATATAGCATATACTATTTGCTCAACACCTGTGGCTGAAGTCAGTTCCAGGTCCTGATTTGTTGTTTTACTTATCAAAGTTAACTTACAAATCAAAAATGGCATTTGCCACCACAACTACTGTAAATGATTGATTTAATATATGAAGTTTGATTTGCTGGTAATTTTAAGTCTCCTAGCCTCAAGGAAAGTATCTGCTTTAATCGTTAAAGTTAACCGTTTTCATTGTTTTATCAAATGTTCTGCCTATTTCCAATGTTTATCCGCTAATTGTACATAAAAGGCATTTGGGGATAAGCATGTAACTTGTCATAGAGTTTAGTTATATGATGATATTTAATTTGTGAAAGCTTCATACTTATCACACAATGCCTTTTTACTTTAAAACATATTTTCCTGTGATTTATAGTACAAGGACAGAAGTGCATCTCCTTGCCTAACACCAAATATTTCCTGACAATACTAGTCTTTATGAATGTATGTAGATTAAACAGGCGCAGTAGAGTATTTATAGTAGTAAGAGGGGCGTTTGACATGCTACACTGACCAAAAGTCAGATAGTTTATGCTTTTGAAAACTCAAAGAGAGACTAAGTTGTTCGTTCAAGTAAGTTAATTTGTTGATTTCATAGGGTTTATTTGTTACATTCATTGCTAGCTGCTACTCATATTATTTCTTAATTACTTTTCTTCCCTTTTTGTTACATTACATTAAACATGCCATCAATGTATGTTGTAAAAAGAGGCACACTATCAACATTCCAAAAATATATGATGAACAACTTTTGACCTATTTGAAAGAAAAGTGTCCTATGAGCTAAATAAAAACTAGTTACCCTGTGTTCAATGTATGTAGCAAACCCTTTTATGAGTTAAAATTTCTCACATGTACATCCCAGCCCGAAGTTGCCGTTTCCACTGAAGTAAATTACACTCATTGTGACTTGTTGCGTGTTCAAACCATAACTTTTCGAATTCCGTGGCAAAGCTATATTGATTAATGACCGAGGTTTTCGTGACGTTACTGAGATGTTAGAAGACTTTGGTATAAATATCAAAATGCCTTACTGTCTCAGCAAAAAGCAGAAGCAACATAATACAGAAAAGGCAAACGAGTCTCGTCTTGTTACAAAGGTCAGATGGGTGATCTCTTTTTACAACATACAACGATGGCATGGTTAACGTAATGTAACAAAAAGGGAAGAAAATTTATTAAGAAATAATATGAGTAATAATATTGCAAGCATTAACTTGAACGAACAACTTAGTTGCGTTTTCAAAGCATAAACTATCTGACTTTTGGTCAGTGTAGCATGAAAAAAGGCCCCTCTTACTCAATAAATACTCAACTGAGCCTGTTTATTCTACATACATTCATAAAGACTAGTATTGTCAGGAAATAGTTGGTGTTAGGCAAGGTGATGCACTTTGGTCCTTGTACTATAAATCACAGGAAAGTGTGTTTTAAAGTGAAAATGCATTGTGGGATAAGTATGAAGCTTTCACAAATTAAATATCATCATATAACTAAACTGTATGCCAAGTTACATGCTTATCCCCAAATGCCTTTTATGTACAATCAGCAAATAAACATTGGAAATAGGCAGAACATTTGATAAAACAATGAAATCGGTTAACTTTAACGATTAAAGCAGATACTTTCCTTGAGGCTAGGAGACTTAAAGTTACCAGCAAATCAAACTTCATATATCAAATCAATTATTTTACAGTAGTTGTGGTGGAAAATGCTATTTTTGATTTGTAAGTTAACTTTGATAAGTAAAAAAACAAATCAGGACCTGGAACTGCCTTCAGCCACAGGTGTTGAGCAAATATTATATGCTATATATAATATACAATACTAACAATTGATAACTTATACTTATAGCATATAAAGTGTGTCATGCACCTTTTAATTCACTTAAAATTGAGAGATATTTGAAAAAGTCAAGTTTGAGATGTGTCCAGAAGCCATAACTCAGTTTAAAACAAAAGGAAAGTATGTAGTCAATATGCAATTTATGTAAGTCTAATCAAATGAGTGAAGTTGAAAATTTCAAGTCAAAATCTTAATTAGAAAGAAAATTATTGAGAAAACAAATTACTTTTCAATTGAAAATGACCGAAAATACCCCCTGACGTAATCCTTCGTTCTATGTAAACAATCTTTAATTGACGATTGGATTTCTGTCATTTTTCATTCCGTTACATACGCTTGTCTAATTTATACATGTTTTAAAAAACAGAAATGGTATTATTTTGGTTTTTAAGCTCATTTTGAAAACAGCAAACTATATTTGTGATTTACCATACCCCTTTTGGTACCCCCAGAAACCCACTTTCGGTCAAAGTTTTACCTTAGTTTTTCCGCATCTCATACAATAGGACATCTTTAAACAAAATAAGGAGGTGAATATCCGAATATACCGGGGCCCAAAAAGGGCCTTATAGACACCCTTCCTTCATCACAACATTTGTATTTCTCACGAAGAAGAAAAACATGTATGTATGGTATTTTGTGATATTTCAAAGGCTTTTAATCGGGTTTGGCATAAGGGTTTGATGGTTAAGTTAAAATCCTACGGAATTGTTAGTGAATTATATACCTGGTTAGAAAAGTGTTTATTTCATAGGCAACAAAAGGTTTTCTTAAATAATTCGTATACCCAATTAGGTTTGCACGAAGCAGGGGTTCCTCAAGGTTCAATTATAAGATCGCTTTTGTTTTTAATATATATTAATGATATATTGCCGATGTGTTTGAATCAGCTGTCGTCTTTTTGCAGATGATACTTCTTTATTACAGCCTTCGTCTTGTCATGAAATCCATATATTTGCTAAAAAGGAATAGTCTTTAAAAAAAATATAAATAATTCATTTTATCAGTTTTAGAATATGCTTGTGAATTATGGGATGGTTGTACTAAATTTGAATCCAAAAAGTTAGAGTAAGCCCAAAGAGAACTTACTCGAATGATATCTGACCTTCCTTCATATGCCCGTATCGAAGATTTACATTTTGAAACAGGTTTAGAAACTCTTTCTAATCGTCGAAAACGTAGAAAACTCCAACTTTTATATAGAATGCAAAACAACTTAACTCAAGATTATTTAAACGATCTCCTGCCACCTAGTATTGCAGAAAATAACAGATATGCTCTTAGAAATAACTGTGATTATAGAGTTCCTCTATTTGGGCTTTCTCTTACAAATCTTTCCTTTATACCTTCCACTCATCGTAGCGCAAACTCGATAGATCTATCAGTACCATCGTTGCCCCTATGCATTCTTTTGAAAACTCTCTTACTTCGAATGTACAACCATCCCCTCCTATCTACTTATGTTTTGGAGAACGTAATTTAAATATCATACATACTAAACTGAGGCACAATTGTAGTTCCCTTAAGTATGACATTTACATATTTAATCTTGTCGAGGGTCCATTTTGTAACTGAGGACATCCATGTGAGAATGCCTTTCACTTTTTTTTTGAGTGTCAACTTTTTAGCAATGAAAGGCGTATTTTGTTTCAAAATTTTAATGCCTTAGGTATAGATTTAAATTTAGAGCTTCTTTTGATTGGCAGTTCAGATCTTTCGGTGGACCTTAATTCTTACGATTTTAGACATGTGCATCACTTCATCGAATCCAGCTAAATCTTTCAAACGGTGCTTTTTTAAAGTTGTGTAATTGTACCTGTGTGAAAATTATATATATATATATCTAATTCATGTTTATATCTATTACCATTGTTGACATATAATTGTAAATGCATGACGGAAGAAGGCTGTTCAATTTTATTGGCAATAAATATGTTTAAAAAACAAATTTAAACAAAGATATATAAATTGTATCGAATACACTTTTCTTATCATGGCTGAATAGGGAAATGTTTGCTTTTCGCCTTTTCGCCTTTTCACTCGGTGGTGGTGACCATGTGAGAAAGTGCAGTTTCGTTTTCCTAAGCGATGCTTTTTCAACGTCAAAAAGCTGTCCAAGAAATCGAAACGGGGCTTGTTTACTTCGTAACCACGACGAATCACCATATGGAAAGTATTTTTTAATCAGTTTCTTTTGAGAATGGCAACAAAATGGGACTAATTTCTCCTTTCGCTCATATATAGTTTTGATAAAATACCGACAAAAAAGCCGGGTTTTCTGGATTGAAATTTAATTGGAAAGCGAACTTTAAATGTAGTTTGGTTCCTTGATTACATCGTGGTTTTTAACTGCCTTTTACACAGAGGCTGCATACTGTACGTTTACCAACCAGTGGAGTATGAGATGTGCCTAAAACTTGAAGTAGCCCATGAAAGGAGACACTTGTATTAATATCTTAGCGAACGACCGGTACATCTGACATTTATTCCTTATACATAGGACGCCGTCCTATATATTTCAGATTAACAAAAACTATTTTTTAATTCTATACTTTACACTTATTTTCGTTGTCTATGAAGTACGTTGCCTACGATTACCGTTGCAATAATAAAGGGAAAAAAGCATTGCTTTTATTGATATTTTAATATTTTTAGCCAAAACAACACACTCTATGTACACGGAAATCAAGTCGTCAATCCCAAGCCTCTTGTATGGATCGTATTTGGTTTAGTAACCTCCGAAACCTGCAAACAAAAATGCTGATTTTACAAAGGGTAGATTACAATTATATGTGGACGATTATATATCACATAATATTCATTCGTTGTCTAGGAATCGATAAATAAATACATATGCATTTTAATCATGTTTGTTGAAATCATAATTCTTTCGACTCGAGTATAATGACACTTTAAAGGATAAATAATATACTCTATGGAAATGTCGAAATGTATCTACAATAAATGCTCATGCGCAACGAAGGATAAAGTTGTTTACTGATTTGTTGTCATGGAAGATAAAATGAACTACTGACTACATGCGCTTGGTGGCGTGATCATCAAGCCACTTTATTGCGTCTATTCTCGCTTAATATGAACAACAATTATGAAGTTAACACGTATACAATATACTAATAAATAATAACTTACCTGATTTCTTTCCTCCTCCGAATCCTCCGCCGATGACTCCACCCTTTCCACCGCCGAATCCACCGTATCCACTGCCGTATCTATTACCATATCCTACTCCAATAACGTATCCGCCATTTCCGTATCCGCCATTTCCGTATCCACCGTAACCACCGTAACCCTTGGACACTATCACCCTCTTTCCGTAACCTCGTCCGTACCCTTTGTATCCTCCGATACCTCCGTATCCGCCCTGTCCGCCGTAGTAAGACGATCCTCCGTATGATCCGTATCCTTGGCCGATTCCATGTCCGATTCCTTGTCCGATTCCGTGTCCGATTCCGATTCCGTGTCCGATTCCGATTCCTCCAAAGTAATCGTCATCGTTGTACCAGCTCTGGGCCATGGCGGCAACCAGACACACAGCAAGAACGACTAATCTCAACATGATTATGATGGGTATCTGTAGAGAAAACAAAACAGACGGCTACAGTGAAATAAACAGTTTATGGCTTTTTACAAAGGTCTAATAATGCAACACAAGGAAGTTCATTTCCGAGAGAAATTGACTTTACCTACATTTAAATCTGTAGTATTTCCAATAATCTAGTTTACTCAGGTTTTATGAAGACAGCTTAAGGGATGTTCAATGTACTTGTATGCTTTCATCGATAATTTGTATCTAAGAACTGGTTTCATTTACATGTATATCACAGTGACCTTTTTGCAATTTTTTTTGTACGAGATAGAAACATATACCACTTACCTTCCTGTAGTCGGGGAATATGTCAGCACTTGATTCGTGGATGGAAACGAATAACAACAGTTGAGAACATCGCCTCTTATATACCGGTCCTGTAGGTATGCAGCGAGACATTTTTCAATAAAACTTACATATATCGGCAATAACATGCGTGTAGCTTCTGTTACGTAACCACCCTCGGGGGACAGCACCTATTGTCCTGTTGTGCGTAATCATGAAATAAAAACATGGTCATATTATCTGCACGTATCACGGGAATAGGTCAACAAAAATAATTTATTGTACGAAAGAACTATTTATTCTATTAAAGGCTCTTGTTCCAAGACTTTCAGCAACATTCTGAAGAATTCCAATTCCAAGACTTAAATACTCATCATTTACTTAAATATCATCTTAAGACAAAAATCTGGTGTGATGTTTTTTTAAAAATATAGTACCAATATACACCAAATCAATTTTAACTTATTTTACTTAGCCTCGGTCATAACTAGAACAAGTCGTAAAGCTCCATCAAGTAATCAATGAATCAACCAATCAATCGATCATTCAATTAATCAATCTATTGGATAATCTTTATTTACGCATCGTGTTACGTGTGGCAAAACATATGTATCGTTATATATCATAAACATAGTTTCTATATTTCAAAAAACACGAATAAGAAATGATATAGATGACTTAAGATAAAAATTGATTAATGTAGTACATGTACAAAGTTTAAACGTAATTTGTTAAGACTAACACACGCTGTTTGTGAATTATCATCCTTTGAAGTGATTTTTATGAGGTGTTTGTCACTGCTTTCCTATTATATAATGTAAAAGAAGTATTGGAGTAACATATCATTATATTACAGTGTAGATGACAAACGTGTTGCTGCATTATCAATGGGTGGATTATAATCAAGTCGTGGTCGGTTCATTTTTATATTGACTCCGTGTTATTATTTTTAGAAACAGTAGGTTAATATTCACTGGATGACGTCATTTCAATTGTAAGTAACGTAACGTACAATTTTCATATGTTCCGTCTCGTTTAATGATTAAATCATTATTTAGCGTCTATATAACAATTAAAGACTTTTATTTCGGTTAATAAATTCATTTGAACACAAGTCCATAATTGATGAATAATCCAACGGGATCTGTAATATTTATGTTTGATCTTTGTAAATGGTTCATATCCGATTTTGGTCCGTCTTATGACAGCAATGTTTAATACTGTATATATCATGTTTAAAACAAGGAATAAGAAATAGATATTGGAGAGGGACTTTCTGTCAGTGGTATTTAAAATCTCCATTTCAATTTTTTTTCTATCAAACATTTGATAAAAACACATGTATACACAGTTCTTTTGGTTGATAGATTCATTCTTATCCCTGATAAAATGTGGATTAATTTGTCTCTAAAATGTACATGTATGTTAGATTGAATTTGTATCTGTGATTTGTTTGAATCAAGAAAGGCCCCATGATATGAATTCTGCTAAGTGTGTAACTCTTGTACATATTCTGATTTTTTTAATTATTGTTTGACATTCTTCCGACACTTTACGTTACTATGAGCAAAACACGACTGTATATCCCGTCATCAAAATGAAATTATCAATACCAAACAAATTGATTGTATCCTAATGATATGGTTTTGTCGTTTAATGAAAGCAAGTGATAATTAATCATTATTGGCACTGCTTACAGGCCTGAACAATCTGCTTTACATGTCTGAGAAAACCTGCGTAACGTCTATTAACGATGCTCTAGATATTACACCAACTATAATAGTAACTGGTGATTAAAATGTCGACTTATTAACTGCATCTACTAACCATGTTCGTTTTGACATTATGAATTCTTTTAGTATAACCAATGTCATAAATGAACCTACACGTATCGGACCGACTAGATCCAGCCTACTAGACCTTATTCTTTTAACTCAATCACTTTCCTGTATAGATTCTTCTGGGGTATCAGTTGATCACTCTTTTAGTGACCATGATGGTTGTACTGCTTGTATTAAAAGTACATGTGCTTTTAGATCCATTTATAAGCGTAAACTTTGGCTGTATAAGAGGGCAAATTTTCAATTTTTTAATTATTTTATTTCTTATTATAATTGGATCGATCTTTTTCTAAATTGAGACTCCGTTGATATTGCCTGTGAGCGTTTTACTGATGTTTTTCTAAAATTTGCTAATTTATGTATTTCATCTAATGTTGTCACTTTAAGACCAAATGACAACACTGGATGACCTCCGAACTAAGATTGAGAATTCCAGATAGGTTGCACAAAATCGTGAGGTCAACCAAATTTCTTTCGGATGTTAATAAATTTAAGTCTCAACGTAATAAGGTTAACAACATGAAAAAGCATGCCCGTTTCATACTTTGAAAAAAATTTCAAGGTATAATTGAAGAGTATTCGTCCTCTGATCCAAAATCTTACTGGAGACTTATTAAACGGTCATGCTAATGACGAAGATAAAGCTAACTTATCTAAATGATTTTTTTGGAATAATACACGAGTAAATGATACTAACACTGTGATTCCTATTATGGAGCCAAAAATGAAAATACGTTTAGATCTATTAGAGCAGATAGTAATGAAATTCGAGACGTTCTACATATATTGAAGCTCGGCAAGGCCTCGGGTGAGGATGGAATCAGCCATCATATGTTAAGAAATACCTCACAGTCTGTTTGTATTCCACTTGAAATTATTTTTGATATGTCTTTATCGGCAGGTATTTTCCCAACTGCTTGGAAAAAGCCAAAGTCATGCCACTGTTTATAAAGGTTGACAGGCATTCTCCTTCTAACTATAGGATAATTTCACTTTTATCTACTGTTGGAAAAGTTCTTGAGCGAATAGTTTTCAAACACCTACATAATAGTTTCTTAGAAAACTCATTGTTTTATAAGTACCAGTCTGGTTTTATGCATTCTCAGTCTACTGTTTATCAGCTCATTGAAAGGAATGGTGTCTATAAGCCCCTTTTTTGGGCCCCGGTATATTCGGATTTTCATCTCCTTATTTTGTTCAAAGATATCCTATTGTATGACATGCGGAAAAACTAAGATAAAACTTTGACCGAAAGTGGGTTCCTGGGGTACCAAAAGGGGTATGGTAAATCACAAATATAGTTTGCTGTTTTCAAAATGAGCTTAAAACCAAAATAATACCATTTCTGTTTTTGAAAACATGTATAAATTAGACAAGCATGTGTAACAGAATGAAAAATGGCAGACATTTAATCATCACTTAAAGATTGTTTATATAAAACGAAGGATTACGTCAGGGGGATATTTTCGGTCATTTTCAATTGAAAAGTAATTTGTTTTCTCAATAATTTCCTTTCTAATTGATATTTTGACTTGAAATTTACAACTTCAATCATTTAAGTCGACCTATATAAATTGCATATTGACTACATACTTTCCTTTTATTTTATACTGAATTATGGCTTCTGGACGCATCTCAAACTCGGCTTTTTCAAATATCTTTCAATTTTAAGTGAATTAAAAGGTGCATTACACCCTTTATATGCTATAAGTATAAAATATCAATTGTTAGTATTGTATATTATATATATCATATAATATTTACTCAACACCTGTGGCTGAAGTGAGCTCCAGGTCCTGATTTGTTTTTTTACTTATCAAAGTTAACTTACAACTACACATTTTTTAACAGAAATGGTATTATTCTGGTTTTAAGCTTATTTTGAAACAGCAAACTATATTTGTGATTTACCATACCCCTTTTGGTCACCCAGAAACCCACTTTCGGTCGAAGTTTTACCTTAGTTTTTCCGCATGTCATACAATAGGACATCTTTGAACAAAATAAGGAGATAAAAATCCGAATATACCGGGTCCAAAAATGGCCTTATAGACACCCTTCCTTTATCACAACATTTGTATTGCTCTTAAAGAAGAATAACATGTGTGTATGCTATTTTGTGATATTTCGAAGGCTTTTGATCGGGTTTGGCATAAGGGTTTGATGGTTAAGTTAAAATCCTACGGAATTGTTAGTGAATTATATACCTGGTTAGAAAATTATTTATTTCATCAGCAACAAAAAGTTTTCTTAAATAATTCGTTTTCCCAATTAGGTTTGAACGAAGCAGGGGTTCCTCAAGGTTCAATTATTGGACCGCTTTTGTTTTTAATATATATTAATGATATATTGCCAATGTGTTTTGAATCAGCTGCTCGTCTTTTTGCAGATTATACTTCTTTATTACAGCCTTCGTCTTGTCATGAATTCCAAACAGTATTGAATAGGGATATTGAGTCTTTAAACTTATGATCTAAAACTTTA